TACTTTGAGATAGAAAATACGAGCCATTGAGGCCTTCCTTAGACCCTGTGCAACGCTTGTGTACTGACCATATTGAAATTTGATTGGCACAATACCCATATCGCGCGCGAGAGCGTTAAGTGGTGGTAACAGTAAAAAACAGAATCCACTTGGGAGCATGGAACAAAAAAAAAAAAAAAATGTAGCCAGCCCGAGAATGCCGAGTCACATAAAATTGACGTCTGAGACTCATAATATCACCACTGAAAAATTGTTCGCGAATACAATTGCTCCAACTCGGTGTGTCGATCGACAAGAACGTGTGCGGGATTGGTCCTTACCAGCGTAAAAAACCAGAGCACGATTTGTGACTTGTTGTAGGTGCTAACAATGCAAGACACTTATAGTGCAATCACCAAACAAGGACGTGCACTAAAAAGGTAAGCATTTTAGACGAAATGAGATATGGATTGTCCGGAATATGTTTGAAACATGTTAAGGTGCCATGGTGGTATCTTTGTAAACAAATGACACATTCGTGTTGTACCATGCTTGATATGTTTTTACATATTCTATTAACGGGAGGAGCTTCATACATGCGTACATTGGACACACCCCAATATATCCATTGAGGGGCATCACAACAACCTAGGCAAGAGAGGCACGTTATCTAAAGACTAGTCAAGTAAGGGAACACTTTAAAGCTGGGATCAGGAAGTCACCTTACGGTGTCAACACAAGCAATGAGCAACACTGCTATTTTTAGAGTCTACACATGTACTTCTCAGCGTAGGATAATGAATTATGGAGTAAGGATGGTGATACAAGTACAAGCATTAACTTTGTTATACCTTTTATAGCCAAAATTGTAGCGACACATATATAAATAGTTTGAAACAAGTTCCGTGTGGGCAGCAGGCACAAGAAATACTTTTATCGGTTTTCTGATATAAATGTATAATACAAAACATTTGTCCAATCACAGTAAGCATGTCTACATCAGTCGATGTCCACCATGAACAAGACTAAGCTGTGTTTAAAACATGTGGTGATCACGGGTCGCAAGGGCGTTGGTGCATCTCGGCCCAGTATGCAGACACGCTAGATATTATCCACATTTGACGTCATAAACAATGTGATTGTAAAAGCTGTTAAATAGATTATTAATAAGACTAGTCCACCTCTTTCCCATTCTCCCATGTTAGATGTTTTTTTTTTTTTAAGGAATACCTTCTATTTAACCAGCATACTAAACGCGCAAACCAGGTTATTATTCACGCAGAGTGTGTCAAAAATACCATCATCCTATGGTATGGAATAACATTGTTCGAGGGCATTCAGCTTCACAAAAATGACCGCCTGTAGACGGTTAGTTTTTTGCCGCAGCTCTGCCATCTTCGCACACAGCATCTTTACTTCCTGTTTAATCCAAACAACCCCTGCATGCACTTCTAGCTCAATTTCAAAGATTGGTGCTCCATTCCCTATAGATACAGCCCCCTCCTCTGTCCTCATACGAAACGGGGCTCGCAATGGAACGACAACACTGTCAGAATGAAGTTGCATTAACACCAAAGCACACGGGGGGAATTTTTATACAAGAACTCAAAACACGCCTTAGAGTATCCTCAATGGTCGTGATGTTACCTGTAACATGCGCTCCTCGACCTTTTTCACTAGATCCAAAATGCCATGATCGCAAACGCTGGACCTGATTCGATGCACCTCTTTTGCTACCAAGCTGTACATACTATCTCTCGCAAACACGAAGCAACTCCTTCAGTGGTAAAGAGCACCCGTCTTTGCTCCTTGACTCATCAAATGCTATGGTTACAAAATATATAGTGACCATCCCCATCAAGCACAACAAGTTTGATGATAAGGCATCATAGCACAGTTTCGTTATGACATCCATCCACAATCAAATTTGGGATGGCATTCAACATTGTGGATCTTGCTACATTCAATATGATAGAGACACTTAAAAAACGCACTTCTTGCTAGTTAAGGAACACAACGCTGTCCGGGTTCGGAATAACTAGCCTCCACTAAATGCTCTTCACAAACTGAAATGACCTTTCAGTTTGCAAAGGGTCATTCTACTTGAGGTCATCCAAGGCCCGCCTTGCTGTAGTGTACGATGCTTTGGCCCCTTGACGCTGCTGCATTTCATTTTGTAGGGCCTTAGGATCATGCCAACTATCGGCAAAGTCATAGCAGGGAAGATGAGGTTTCTCCTACGGGCGGAATATGGATTGGCTGTGCAACGGTTTTCTCCTACATATGAGGTTACGGCGCGCATGCTGTCTGAACTTGTGGCCTGAAGATTGATTATGAAAGGACACTTAATCCGAAGCAAAGCAAACCGCGATAGGCCTCTAACGGTTCTACTAAACGTGGATGGACACTTCACATCCAACCTTATTGGAGGCCTTACTTCAAAGACGTATGCCACCCGCAACCAATGACATTAGTCCTCAATTTCATCATGCGCCTTGATGGGATTACGATAGTACTTTCCGACCTCAAAATCCAAGGTCAGGTTTTCATTATCCATCTGCACAAAAGAATTGAATGAAGGGGAGGAAAGGGGAGGTTAGGAGGGTGGAGATTGAAGGAAAAAGAGATGATTGTGGGCATGCAAGCAGAGTCGCTAACAGAAGGGTCAAGTGCTGATGGATAATTACCACAACAACATCAGCCAGAATCAGCACTTGTGTTTGGATGTCGAGCCGATACTGCTAGCAACCACACTTCATTGCAGTCCACATCAATCAAAACAATAAACATACATGTAAATCCTTACACAACAGTCACCAACAGTCAACAACAATAAACAATAGTCAATAGCAAACAACAACAACAATCAACCGCACTCACCAACAATCAATGGCAGTCCACAGTAGTCAACAACAGACAACAACAGACAATAACAGTCAACAACAACCAACAGCAGTAAGCAACAATCAACAGCATACAACAACAGTCAAGAAACGTCAACAGTAGCCCACAGCAGTCAACAACAGGCCCTAAACCATGTAACAGATAACAGCAATCGACACCTTCAGCACATGCTCTACAGCCATACAACCTAGGTGACACTTACACGAGCAAAGCTGGGATAGTCTTGACACGACTGTAGGAAGGGTAAAAAAAAAAATGATGTTCCCACAGTCATTGATGAAAGGAATAAGGGTGGGAGAGAAGAGCGAGAGATGAATAGATTTTGACACGCATATTGTAGGAACAATCGTGCCCTTTTAGCATGCATTGTGCCAACATGAGGTTTTGAGGTAATGGATTGAGGGAAAAAATGCCACTTTGGGTGCATGGTGATGAGGGGAGTATGGGGAGGCGAACGAAGGGATTTTTCTTTTATGGTTCTTAGACGGATTTTAGATTATTTTGAGATGTCTCAAAATTAGGAGTTCAAACCCAAAGTGGCTGAATTGTAGTACAGCAAGGCAGGTCTGGGCGAAACGGTCCATCGATTTCAATGTCAATGACAGTTCCCATGGTGCATACCCTAGACGCTACTTTGCTGTGTTTCTCAACAGATTGTTGAGCGTCGCTCCCTTTTTGCCCGTGGGAATGACAGATCGATTGCTCTCCCAGCGACGGGTCGACAGAACTGAATCCCCGCCAGCTGACCCTTGTCGGGAAGGTGGCTCAGCCAATGCCACCCTTTGGCACAGCCAGTCCACCCTTTGGCACAGCCAATCCACCCCTTGACACACCTCGACGAAAGAACGAGATTCGTCACGCGTGCTAGCTGTCGACTTGGTGGATCTTGCTTCGCTCCCGGATGTTGCTTGTGCTTGAGGGGTATATCAAGTATGGAAGTTTCATTATTTCCTTTATTGCTAGCTTGTCCAATTTTCTTCGTCTCCTCTTTTGCTCCCACCATCTTGCCTCCACTTTCTGGCGTACCTATATTTATGGCCCTAGTTCCCTCGTAGAGCGTTAAGGACCTTTGATGAGGATTTGATTTTTGCCTCGTCACGCACGCTGTAGTATTAGCATCGCGCTTACGAGGTGCAGTGTATTGTTACTTCCGTACACGACAATGGGTAAACCCATTGATACAGTGTCTGTGCAAGACTTTAAGCCATTCCATTATGTGCCTTACCGCAATGTCCTGCTAGTGATGACAGACCCTAATTATAAATCACTGATGGACGAGTAAATGGACTTCACACTCACCACCATGACGTTGGCGCTGTTGTGAGTGCTTGCGCATGTTGTTATCCAGCGTTCATCGTGCAAAGGGTCAGCACGCAAAAATGTTTGCAGGCATGCAGACTCGACCGTGCAACCTGGGGTCAACTCGCGCGTACTGCCCGCAGAGACTGTCAGCCGTAGGCTCAAAGAGGGAGAGAAGTTCGGCGTGCCTCCGGTGATTCATCTTCGCACGGCGGCGCTGTGATCGCCGTGCCCATCATAACAATGTAAGATGAATAGGTCCCAATAGCAGTCATTTTTTTTTCATGTACAGCAGATGTCTTTTCACCTGTTGCGCTAGGAGCGCTGCCTAGAGAGAACAGCTTTCATCGCTTCCTTTATTGTTTTTTTGCCCTCGCCACAGCACGGAGGAACTCCTGGGCAGGCACTGCAACCGTCTCTTGGTGGCACACGCTTCTGATCTTCGAGAAATCGTGAGCGAGAACCGCATGGTGGTTTTCCACGTGGACCCGCAAGCCAGACAACGCTTCCACGATGACGCTTTCAACACCGTGCACGAGTGAGTACAAAGTCGTGCTCTGATCGATTTGACGAACCGTGTGCAACACATTGACTCCCTCATTTGTAGTTGTCATACACAAGTGGATCATAAGCACTGCTCGTGCGAAGGCTCTATCAAGATTCAGGCGGGTCGGCTTCGAACGGCAGAAAGAGTCCGACATCGACAAACATTTGAAGAGTGGAAGAACATGGTTCATCTGGTGAGTGTGATATATTGCATATGCTACTGTCTCGTCAAGCCTGTTCTTTGCATGATCGCTCACAAGCGCATCTTCCGTATGTGTGCGCAGCATTGCGGTATTACGAGAGACACCGCCGCGAACACTGGCCTAGATGTGGTGGAGGTGTTCAAAATGTTCCACGCCCATATGGAAGCCGTCATTGCGCAACCCTCGTCGTACAAATTCAGGTCCATGGGGCGCAACGAGAAGAACAATTTCCGTCAACAGAAGTTCGAAGGCGCCCTTTTGCAGCAAGAGACAGAAGCTTCTGTGGCGGGTGGGGAGGATGCTGGCAAAAAATCCGGGCAAGCTGATGGGGGTTACGCTGGCGGGTCGATGGTTACCACACCGACCGCGTGAGCGGTGACGTTGCATAAGGAATGTGGGGAACAGGACAATCCCCAAGGTGGCAAGGGGAAGCCGCGGGAGGTGCTTGAGGGGAGCAAGGGGAAGCTGAATGAGACGTGTGACGGGAGCAAGGGGAAGTCAAAGGAGGCGTCTAAGGGGAGCAATGGGAAGTCAAAGGAGGTGTTTGAGGGGGATGAGTGGAAGAAGGAGAAGCGGAAGTTGGGGGAGAAGCTGGATGAGGAGAGGAACGAGACGAAGCATTGTCAAGAAGATCTCCCGCTGTTGATCCGGGGCCGTCGAGTGGACACAACGCTGATGAGAGGCCGAGCGTGGTAGAGGACGAGGCGACGGTCATCGAAGAAGACTTCTTGGAGGACGGGGAGGATGGTGTGCGGGCCCGTACTGGCTTACGAGGAGACTATAGTGCTATACGGAATCGAATATGAAAAGAACAAGAAGCAGTGGGCTCGCTCGGTGGCACCGACAAGGCGATTCGTCATTTAGATGAGCAACATGGTGGAGTCGATCAACGGGGTCGTGAAATTTATCCAGAAGCCACCACCTGCCTATTTTGCTTGCATCGATGTGGGACTATAATGTCAAGAAGTTATATGAACGTAGTGAAGAGGCACGAGCCAGAGACGACTACTTTCCGGAGTGAGGGAGGGAAAATTTGTTGGTGTAAGGGCCTAATAAACTCAAGCTATTAGGACTTAATCAAACTTAAAACCTCTCCTCGGGGTCACCTCCAAGGGTCCCTGGGTGCCTGGTACAAGACCAGCCCCTATCCTCGGGTCCGAGTTTGTAGAGAGAGGGATCAAGAAGGACTTAGTCAAAACAGCAAGAGTACCTTGAACGTCGCGCAGCGTGCCGTGCAGACCGTCGATCGGATTAAGCTGAGAATTCGCTATATCGAAGCTCGCTCCAAGAGCTTTAAAATGAGCCAAGTTGCCTCGCGAAAAGTTCTGCCATTACTAAGTTATGGCTCGGACAGCGTTTGCCTAGCGTTGGAGTGCTAGCATACTAGCGTTGACTCGGGTAGCATTCCGCCGTCGAATAGCGCAGAAACGAAATTCCAGCGAGGAAGGAATTCGCTTGAATCAATTTGACTATATTCAGGTACAAACAGAGAAGGATTAAATAGTTCTAGCTAGCAAGGACCTTGGGAATCAACCTGGGAACAACCAGGGATGATCCCAAATAATTCCAAGCAACAGAACCAACCTGGCTGGACAAAATAGCAGGTGGTAGGTTGGTAAACAACCTCTGGTTCTGTTTTTCCAACCTGGGAAAAACAACAACCAGGTTCAGGTTCTAAAAACAGAACCTGTTTTGTCTTTGCCCAACCAGCCAAATGCTGGTTCCGCTGGTTTCCCCTGGCCTTGTAGCATGCAGATACAGACAAACAACATCCAACCTTCACCTAAATTGTACCCCTATAGTGCCTTCCCTGCTACACTATAGTTAACCAAACAAAACAGTACAATTTCGAGTTGGATAGAACTGAATCTGCGCAATCAACTCAACCGAACTGCAAAGCTTCCATCTTGGGTTCCTTTGCGAGCTCGTCCTTTCTGCTTGCACTGTTCATAGCGCGTACAATGTTGTGCCGAAGCGCACATTGCGCGAGTACCTGCAAATGCATCAAGCGAAAATTGCGAAAGCAAACAAACACACGAACATTCCATTCACACCCAAATGCATTCGCACACGCATACTCGTACAAACAGACGGCAGGATGTCGTGCAATGTAAATTTGCACCCAACACACTCCCCCTCAGCCTGCCGGCTGCATCCCCATCATTCCATGCTAGTTCATGCTCATTCCACTCATGCGCACACAACGCCAATGAGGCTCATCCGCAAGCCTCTTGGTGAGAAAGTCTGCTGGCTGCTGGTGAGTCTTGATGTAGATCGGATGCACCGTCCCCCTCTTCACCTCCTTACGCAGCCAGTGCCACTTGATACGCATGTGCTTGTTCAGGCCATGAAGCACAGCGTTCCTGGCCATCCCAAGAGCCCCCTTGCTATCACAAAACAGCGGCGTAGCAACTTTCTGCTCCTGGCCAATCTCCTCTAACAGCCTCCTCAGCCAAATCACCTCCTTCACCCCATGGAACATCGCCATGTACTCTGATTCTACGGAAGAGAGTGCCGTCTCCGTCTGCTTCTTGGACCTCCAACTAACAGGTCCTCCCCCAACTACGCAGATGTATCCTCCCACAGATGAGGAATCCTCCTTCTCAGAAGCCCATGTAGCATCGGTAAAGCAAGTGAGAAATAGCTTGCCTTCTCCAAGCCTCTCCCCCTTCTCTTTCAGCACCTCCACCCCTTTCTGCTTCACCTGTGCAGATGCGGAGTATTGAACTCCAATGCTTGGGTGAGAGTTCAGGTACTTCACCACACGCTCAGCTGCATCCACCTGCTCCTCTGATGGATTCTGCACCACCCTAGCCAGCTGCCCAACCGAGAAAGAGATGTCGGGCCTCGTGTGAACTGCTGCGTACAAGAGGCTGCCCACCAAGGACTGAAATTGCTGCTGCTCTTCAGCTTCAACCCCTTCATCCTCTGCAGCCTTCACAAGCTTGAATTCTGCTGGCAGGGGAGTTGCAACCTTGCGCTCATTCTCAATCCCATACTTCTCCCCCAGCTCCTTGATGAACTTCTCCTGGTGCAGCTTCAACCACCTGTGATCTGGATCCCTCTCCACGTGCATCCCGAGGTAGTACTTTACCTCCCCAAGGTTCTTGCACTTGAAGTTTTCCATCAGTTGCTGCTGCACTTTCTGGATCTCCTTCATGCTGCTGCTGAAGAGAAGAATGTCGTCCACATAGACCAGAAACAGCACCAGCTTCTCCCCCTCACCCTTGAGAAAGAGGCTCTTATCACACCTGCTGGTCCTGAATCCCATCTCCTCTAAAACAGCTGCCAACTTCTGGTACCAGCAGCGTGGCGCCTGCTTCAAGCCGTAGATGGACTTGTTGAGCTTGCACACCCTGCCCGTACCATCCTCATACCCAGGCGGCTGCGTCATGTACACATCCTCCTCTAAAATCCCATTCAGGAATGCCGTTGAAATATCCATCTGAATGATGAATTTCCCACTAACAGCTGCATCTGCCAACAAGACACGGAGGGTAGGGGGTTTGGCAGTGGGAGCAAAGATTTCGTTGAAGTCCTGCTTCTCCTTCTGCATAAACCCCTTCGCCACCAGCCTACTCTTGTAGATGGTGACCTGCCCCTTGTCATCGGTCTTGATCCTCAGCACCCACTTGCATTGTATCGCTTTCTTCCCATCAGGCAGCACCACCAGATCCCATGTCCTATTCTCCAGCAGACTCTGGTACTCAGCATCCCTAGAAGCCAGCCACTTGTCCCTATCTGGTCCAGCTAATGCCTCCTCCATGCTAGCTGGTTCCTCTGGTGCAGGGGCAAGAAAACAGTACGCAGGCTCATCCTCCTCATCCGGGTCATAGCCATGAGGTAGAATCAGCAATGCCTCTTCGGTCCCTAGCTGCTGCTCTGCTGCATCAGTTCCTGCAGTCAGCTTCTTAGTAGCCATACGGGTACGTCCTGGCCTGGAGACGGGTGTCTCCCATCCCTTCATAACGACACCCTTCGGCTTCTTAGTTTTTCCCTGCTGCTTCTCTCCTCCCTCGGGTCCAGCAGCTCCACTAGTGCTGCCGCCAGTTTCCACACCATTTTCTCCACCAGCAGATGCCTCCTGTATCTTCTCTCCATCACCATTTCCAGCAGCTGCCTCCTCTCCCTCCTCCCACACACTAGGAGTCAGGTCCAGCTGCATGGTGATCTGCTCCATCTGCTGGGACACCCTTGCCTCCGGCTGTTTCTCCCAGCTCCCATACATCATGCCCTCAATGAATTTCACATCCCTGCTGTCAAACAACACACCCTTGGATGGTTCCCACAGCAGCCATCCCTTGCTCTCAGCAGCCAGCCCCAAATGCACACACCAGATTGCACTCGCCCCCAACTTACTGCGGTAGGTCTTGGGGACGTGGGCGACTGCCATGCAACCGAACACCCTCAGCATGTCCACCGGCGGCTTCCTCCCAAGCCACCTCTCCAACGGCACCCACGAGTCATCCCCAACCTTGGTGAGCACCCTGTTCCTAGCGACAGTGGCGTGCCGGACAGCATGAGGCCACATAGAATTGCTCAGCCCAGATTCTATGAGCAGCGCCCTAGCTGTCTCCAGAATGGTCCGGTTTGCCCGTTCTGCTACACCATTGGACTGTGGGGTATAAGCCGTGGTCAGCTCTCTCTGGATGCCCTGCTTCTTGAGCCAGGCCGTCATTTCAGCTCCAAGGAACTCACCACCCCGGTCTGTCCTAATCCGCTTCACTACACACTCCGCCTGCTTCTCCACGAATGGCAGCCAATCGTCCCGTATCGTGGAGGCGGCGTGGTCCTTCTGCTTCAGCGGATACGCCCACATCAGCCTGCTCCAGTCATCCACAATTGTAAGAAAATACCGCTCCCCCTTGTGCCCTTGCACCGGCAGCGGCCCCACCAAGTCCATGTGGACCAGCTCCAAAGGCTTCTTGCTCCTGCCAGCCACACTATGGAAAGGGAAACGGGTGAACTTTGAAAGCAAACAGATTTCACAGTTGCCATCGGGTGGCTGTCCGTTCAGCTTCAGACCCTTAACGGCTCCATCCTTCTCCAGCTGCTTCAGCAAAGGCATTGCCACATGCCCTAAGCGCCGGTGTGCCGTTGCCCAATCTGTCTCCCCAGATCTGGCCGACACTTTCACACCAACCCCTCCAACGGCATTGCACTCCCCCTGGGATGCAGACCCCTCTCCAGCCTGCCCCCCACCATGCCACGCCAGGGCCGGCAGCTGCCACATAGATCTGTACACGTCCTTGCTCTCGTGCAGATCCCAAAGCACCCGATTGCCCAGCTTCCCCTTATAAGTGCGTGCCCCATCCGTGTTGGTGTTCACCCCAGCCTTGCCAAGCTTACGGAGGGAGATAAGGTTGGCCTTCAGGTCGGGGACGAAGAGAACGTCGTGCAGCACCACCGGCTTGCCATCCGCTCCCTTAAACGCAGCTCGTCCCGCACCAGCCACCTTCAACATGTGTCCAGAGGCGGAGCACACTTCATTGATCGGTGCAGCTCGTACTTCGTCCAGCAGGTCCTTGCGCGGCGTCATCGTCCAAGCAGCGCCTGTGTCCAACACCCAATAGTCTAGGGGGTGCAGCTCTGCTCCAACTTTGGCAGAGGCGTCTCCTTGCTCCCCCTTGTCTCCCACATGGAAGAATTGGCCCGCGGTGCGCTCCTTCTTCTTCTCCGCACCGCCGTTGCCCTTC